CTTATCATCCCAACTACAAATAATTGCATCGAGGCAAAATTTAAGTGGCTCTCATTTTGAAACTCCTCTGGCACTACCAGGCAATATTACTTCCTATCTTTTTTCATAGTGTATCAAACTCTTATGTTATGTCCTATAAAGTGTCCTAGAGCTAAATGTTCATCTGTGCCAGCATTTCACTCAAGAATAAAATAAGAGGAGCGAGAGAAAAAAAAGTTTGTGCTCTACTTTTCCTAATGATACCTTGTTTTGTAATTATTAAAAGCATCACGGTCCTTAGACAGCTGCTGACACACAGGAAATAAGGTCCTCGAAACTGTTTGTTTCATCATATTTTAAGAATGAATACCGTAGGTCATGTTAATCAGTTTCTGATATATGTAGTTTTCAAAATGCACTTCAGGGAAGAAAATGCTGGAAATGACTAATAGCAGCAAAGATATGAACTTTATTCGTTATATATCTAACTCTGAATGTGAACATTACCAAAGTACTTTGCCATCTTAAGTATTTAGGAAGCCTTAAATAAAAAATAAATCCACCTCATTCAGTGAAATAGAACATCCTCTTTTTCAAGCAAAAGAATTCAAATTTATTAATTTTGTAGCTATATTTTAAAATGAGTGTCAGCCCCTGCTAGATGACTGCATGATAAGTGTCCTGAAACTTCAGGAAAAGGCACTAAATTTTTCACAGCATTTGTGTTTCATTTTCAGTGTAATAAAAATATGGTGCCCTTTTAATAATGAATAATAGATCTCCTGGTATGATTTACATGCGTGGATTAAATGTCATGTTTGAAAAGTTGCTGTTTTATTCATATTGAATTTCCCTCAAGTAAAACAAAATGGTACCCAGCTACTGTTATAATATTGCAAGTACCTTGCCACACTGGTACATAAATATTAACCAGTTGATATACTCTTTAAAAATCTACAGATCTATGAACTGTTCTGTCAGCAACAGTGGTTTTATATGCATATGAACTGATTTAGTGCTATGCCGAGTTCCAGGTACATTGTGGAATAAGAGTAGCAGCAGCGCTCACATATTTCTGGACCTCAGGTTTTTTTTGCTGAAGTGCCAGTTCTGGAGGGCTGGCAGAGAATTAAGGACTGATGCTGAACAGGTGCAGCAGGATCCAGGATTAAAAAGTAGCTTGGGAAGCCCCACACTGACACGATTGTCCCTGCTTCTGCTCATCAGGGCTGTACTGACATCCCAGGTGACTTGACAGCTCAACGAAAGTTTTTAAATGTCACTTTCAAGCAATCTCATTGGCTTATAGTGCTTTTCACAATAGCTAAAGATTTCCTATCTGAACTTTCCTTTCTGAACAAAAACTTGCTTCCTAACAGGCAATATTTTTTCTGGAAAAGTGTTCCAGAAATGTTTATAATTTATTGAAGATACTTGAAATAGGAACATTCTCCTTAAAAAGAAGTCGTTCTCTTACTAAGTGAAAATAGTGATGTACAGCAAAATAGTTTGGTCCTGATAACTGAAATCTTTTAAAAGAGAAATACTTTTGCCACACTCCAATTTTCACGCCATTGAAGCCTATGAATATTTTTATTTTGAAAAGTTAAGATTTGTTCTTACTTTTGTAATTGCTTCATACAACTATTTTAATGTTTGCCAAACTAACTTAAGAAAAGCTGACAAAAAAAAAATCCCACCACTTTTCCTTTAATTTAACAAAATTAAATTTCCACATACCACAACTCATTTGGGCTCTTCAAGTCATCATTAAGCTGAAAAACATGACATGCACCTGCTAACACTGGGACATGATCCTATGAAGTAATAAGACACTGCTTTAAATACACCACAAACGAAAATGTTTACTGACTACTTGGGTCTTATCTATAGTAGAATCTTAGCTACCATGAGCAGCAATAAGGAAATTATACTAGTAAAATCCTTGGTCTAGTGTAAAGATGATGCTGACTTATCTGTGCAGGTGCTGCCAAGGACAATGTAATTGTGTAACTGCATTACTAGATGCACAGTAAACATACCTCTTTTCCTATCCTCTACTCAACTTGCATTTCAGACCTGAGAAAAATGAGTACACAGAAAGTTTAAGAACAAAGCTTCTTTACCGCCTGGGTCAACCTACTGCATTTTTTGAATCTCAGCTTGAGTTCACATTCAGTTTGTGTTATAATGTAGGTGAAGTTTCAAAATAGCTCTTACTTCATCTAAACTAGACAGCATTAACCCATCCAAATCTAAAGTTCCCTTGCATAAACTAAACATATGACGAAGTCCTTGAAATGCAGTCTAAACCAAGTCCCTTTTAGCTCATGTTTCTGAACATTGCTATTCCTAAAAAAAAACCTGCATCAGTCGAAACAGTAATTGCATTTTATTGCAATCGTAAGCATTCATAGGTGTTTTGTCCAGGATAATTCAAGTAAAAGTATGACTCGTATGACTGTTTGGTCCTACTGAAAGCCAAATAAAATTCAAGTTGAGCTACTAGGAGCCTCTGCCTAATAAGCAGTCAGAGGTTATTGTGGGAGGTAGGTTGACAAACTAAAGAGGAAGACAGTGAAGGAGGGGAAAGAATGGAAGCTGGCAAACTGAAGTAAAGAACATTGATTAATGAACAAAAAACATTTTTGAAAGGTCGGGTGTGCAAGTCAGACTAGCCCTGAGGCAGATCTAACTTACATGACCAGCACTTTCTGTACGCAGCAGGTAACCCATGCTGACACCAACTTTGCCGACATGACAGGGTTATTATTTTTGGAAGGATGTAGTGTTCTGGAACAATTCTTCTAATATATTAGTTAAAACTAAGCTTTCCTTCAATATCAAGTGTGCATGTCTCCATTTTCAGCATGTTTACACTGAACTTCTACCATTATTCTGGCCAATGAAAACAAAAGCTGTTTGTGAGTACTTCATTTGTGAGTACTTGTGTTTTTCCCCCTGTAATACATCCCAAGGCAGCACTGCTGCATCTAAGATTGTGTTCAAACCCAGATGTTCATCTGGAGCTCAGCACTAAGATCTCACGAAGTTTTGTAGATGCTTCCCATCTGAAGCTAAAATTTTCCTCATCTCAGTATAGATGGTTTCTTTTGAAATGCTAAGGTTATGGGCCAATACCAAGGTGGAAGAACAGAAAGGTTGAATCATCAAGGGTATAACACCTATGTCTCCAAAATGAGCTGGTGGAGGAGGTTCTCTAAAATGATGACATTAAGATTTTGCTGTCTTTATACCATAGTGAAGACAGAGAATCATCAGAAGATCATTTAATCCAGCTTCTCCACATGGTACCAAAGTTTTAGTGGACTTGCCCGAGACCAGTACCCTGGTTCTCTACACTAAAAATGAAGTTTTTAATTTAAATATCCTCTGTGAGACTCATTAAGGACTTTAAAGCAAACTCTGGAAAAGTGATAAAAGTACAAAGCATTTCTCTCAGACCTTTGGATGAAGGTTTATAGCCACCTTTAAGCAGTTACTAAGGTGTCTACACAACCCAGTAGAGACCAACAGAAAGACAAGCATGTGGACTTTGTACTTACTCCACAAATCAAGGGCTTACTCCATAAACCCAGGACAGGAGTTCTTTTGCATCTAAGAGCAGCTAGATAAAAGATGGGTCAATCTGAACTAGCTCTTGCTTAGTACTGAGAAGAGAGATAACACAGTTTTCAACATGGAATGTTCTTGAGGCAAGAGGAAAAGTAGCAGGAGCAAAAGTAGCAGGCAAGACCCAGAAGAAGCAAGATCCTGAAAGCAAGAAGCAGGGCATGCCAGTCATTCAGTTGTAGTGCCTGTAGTCTTCTCCTTTCAGTGGAGCCTAAGATGACAGTTGTTTGTCTTCAAGGCAGTAAGCAGGATGCATGTGTCCTGCTTCTGAAGGAGTCACAGCTCAGTGATTTCTCCAACAGATACATATATTTGTTTTAACATCATGTGACAGTCACATTCAAAGTTTCCCTCCCTCTATAAGTGATTCTTTTCATACCAACAGATGTATTTACATACACAGTTCATTATCGATTTCACATGATAAACAATTAAAAAGCAGAAAACGTGACTTAGCAGCACTTTATAATCACAAACCCAATAGCTGAAATGACCTATCTCCAAATAACTGAAAACATCAATACCATACATTAAAGTTGCTTTATCTGAAAGCTCTTTGGGATAGGGACTGCATGTGCGTTCCGTATCTACACAACGCTTCCCACAATAGAAGGGGGGAGGAAGAAATCTGTCATTCAGGTCATACTACAAAATAAATAATTGACAATTGAAAAGATTCTCCTCCTCATTCTACCAATGTCTCATAACACACACACACACACATGCGCGCACACACACACACAAAAATAAAAACCCACACAGAGAAATGGGGGTTGTTTTTCAAACTGCAAAGAAGCTTTCATGTGCCAGAGAGTTTATTTGAGACCAGTGTTTCAACCAGCACTAGGCATTAGCTACAACAGTGAACAACTGACACACAACAATCCTGCCACGCACAGCATGCTTAGGCAGGGAAATATGTGTGCTTCAGTCACAAAAGACAGAATAGAGCCTCAAGTGTTTGGGCTCCTTCCAAAATAATCCAAATGCTGCTTTTTTGGCAAATGGAGGTCAATGGAGCTAAAAACTCACAGAAGGATTTGGGCATTCATGTGTTTATATACACCCACTCGTTCATTTATTATTCTAAAGCTACTTTACAGAAATCAAATTACATAGCTGACAAGCTGCATAGATAAGAGAGAATAAAAGTAAAATTTAAAATTAGCTGACAACAGTATATGATGTAGTGTATATTTGGCACTTTTAGAGTGAGTGATGAGGGTTAACCTAGGGGAAAAAAATTGCACCTTCCTAAATTGCACCTTAAATTATTAAATAAATTATTAACATGATGGAATGCATTAAATATATAAGCCTGAAGGAGAAAGAGCAGATGTGTTTTAACTTTCAAAGCAAAGACAGCATATTTAAGAAGTGTTGCTTACTGTCTGGATACTTTGCTCGAAGTAGATTTCAGTGTTGTAGAAGTTTCCATCGTGACTAACAGGCAGCGTTGTCCTGGCCTGAGGCTGCTCCTTCATTTTGGGCCACTCCAGCAAGCCACCACCTAAGCGGCTGAGAACAGAAACTTTGAGGGTGTAGTGGCCTCTAGGGACCTTATCTTTGACTCCCCTCAGGCATTTGACGTGAATTTCTATCAGCTGTGGTGTCTTGAAGCAGTCAACCTAGAGAGAGGGCTCTGAGTTACTGATCTGGGTAGAGCTAACTTAACTATACAATTAGCATGGACAAATTTCTTCAAGAAAATAACTACTGAAAAGCAGACAACATACTTCTTGTTCAACCCGCAATTACCTATTGTTAACCGAGGATCTGCAATTAGGGAGGTCAAAAGTCACAGACACGACAGATAAAAAAAATTACAAATACTAATAATAAAATGCTCGGCATCTTTGGAGGGAAGGCGGAGCTGTTGAAGTATGACACCGAAAGCCATTAGTCTGCAACAATAAGGCAGAATTAACTGGAAAACAATACCTTCAAGAGTATGGCATGCTTTGTAAGACAGGCACAATGCATGATGTGGTGAGCAGGCTGCAGGCCCAGAAAGACAGGGCAGGCCATGTTTTTATACTAATTATTAGTCTTGCCAAAGCTATTAGTCCTGTGTAATATGCATACTATACTTTCACCTTCCGATTATCATATAATCAGATTCTCTTAAAAATAGTAATCAAAGTGCAACACGTGTAGAGTTTAATAACAACTCCCTACAGGCACCTTTATTCCAAGTCCAGACAAAAGGAAACATCTGCTGCTTGCTGTTGACAAGATGTTGTCTGAGTTACAGAATGTTTATTATGGAATAAATGCTGTGCTGTGTATCAGAATTGCCTTTCTGGTGCTTTCCTTTGAATGCACAGCTTATAGCACAGTGGTTGGCAGAGGGGAACAGACACAGCAGTATGATCCTTACAAGTCCTGGCTGAGTAAAGGTGTAGGGACTGTCCCACTACACCAGCAGATACTTCAGTGCTGCCCAAATGCAATCTGCAGGGTCAGGCACTGAACAGGGAGTCCCAGATTGGCCCCAGTATTGAATTCAATGGATAAAATTCCTTTACAATAACTAATTATTTAGTTATCAACATTTTTTTTCCTAAGGAATCTATTTCTTCCATTATTTTGAGAAAACAGTCTAGGTGGTCTTTTAATGCAATGTGATACAAAAACCCATGCCACACTTCAGAATCAAATGGCTACCTTGACTACTAGGTTTAGTAGTCTCACAGTTTAAGCCTACAGTAGCTAATAATCTCTTCTCTAATCCTGTCTTGGATTTATTTTGGAAGAGATAGCATATTTCCATATAGATAGAAAGCTTCTGGAATTAAATTAAGCAGTTACATAAACAGTTGAATTTGTTAAACTTCTTTTGTTTCTCAATACAAACCATACTTAACAACTAATCTGAATGACAATTATTTTCAGCTTAATTAGAAAATCTTAATTAACAATGAAGATTTAACCTTAATATTTTTGGTTTCTGAATCATATATAAAAAAATTAACATTATGTGAATAAATAAGACAATCTTTTTAAACCTCAAGGCAGGATTACTGATGCAGGCAGACTTCGTTATTAAACACATTCTAAATTAAACGCCTCTATGAATTTTATACTGAAATATATTGTGATAGTTTTGCATGCCAAATGTGACATTTTGTATTTTAGATTCATCTTCTGTAGTAATTTTGGAAATGTCATACAAACAAAGATTTTGTCATTTACCAATGGAATTACTATGCATGGCCGGTTAGCCATCTCTTTTCTGGCTCTTCTGGTTGTTTCAAGTCAGCAAGCCATAAAAAATCTTTATCTCTCTGAAACACAGCAATTTGGAAGATAATCGAATAGTGACTGGGGGGCAGAAACGCCAGTCTGAGGAATTATACCACAATCTCTCTTGCATTTACAACCTTCCTCAAAGCGAGTGCCAGTTGAGTAGGAAAAGGAGATAGAAGATTCATCATATTTCAAGCCTGTCTCATTTGCATGGTGGCATAGCTGTCTCATCTCCTGCTGAAAGACTTTGCTTGGCCAGCACTGACAAACTGTTTTGAAGAACTCTAGCCATGCCCAAATGATTCATCATTAATAGCTTTAGACATTCTCCTTAAGCATATGGTTACTTCTGCTGGGAAGCATATTTGGAAACCTCCTAAATTCTAGCCTCTTAGACTATAAAAAGAAAATTAAAAAAACAACACAATGCAATTGATCTAGTCATTTAGGAATCTGCATCAGGAAAAAGAGCACTCTATGATTCCATGGAGAACACCTCACCTTCTTACAAGGTCCTGTTGCTACATTTAATCCAGCATTCAGAACTGCATGGTTACCAAAGCTGGCTGCCATTTCTTCTTCACTTTCATTCCCCTCTGCTTTCAACAGCTGACTTCCCACTCTGCAGCAGTTAGGGAAGAGGGAAGAACTATTCAAAAGAAAGAAACTACAACTGCAGACCCAGAAAGCACTTGCTGTTGCTAATATATCACAGTTTGATGTTTTCTTTGAACATTATCATAAGCCTTGCAGGGCACCCAGGAGAACCAACAGTGTACTAAAGCAGAGAAATGGCTAGGCTTCAAAAAGTGGTGCACGAAAAATGCAGTCACAGCCCCAGCAATAAAACGGTATTTGTCAGTCTATGCCACAGGTCAATACGAGGTACCTAAAGTTTCTCAGCTCTGTCTGGCACTGGGGCTCAGGTTCTAGGTGAAGAATACTAAAGTAGGAAGCCATTGCTTCTGTTGACCCTTTGAGGACTAATTGACATCTTCAATTAATTAGAAGAGGTTTTTAGAAACCATTGGTTCCTTGAGAACTGGGTTGCTTTAAACTACTGAAAAAAAAACATATATATACACACATATAAAAATCTTCCCTTTTATGAAGGGGAAAGTCTTCTGAATTTATGAATAAATCTTTTATCATTTATAAATCTTCCAAAAATCTTAAAAAAAACTATGTAAGTTATATAAGTTGATATATAGGTATACTTACACATTTTCTGCTGTATGTGAACTATTAAACTGTTATATGTTAACTTCTTGTTTAGTTAAAATAATTTTAGGGGGTAATTAGATCAACTCAAAGATTATTTTTTATTTTTTTTTAAGACAGGTCCCTGTGGCAACACAGAACACCAGCAAATAGTATAAGAACAGCCCAGGACAATTGGATAACCCAAAGCTGCCCTATATAGCACACAGGATACAGAGAAGGCAAAGTATGGAGAAAAACTTGTCCTAGATCACAGCAGGAGCAAATGCAAAACTAAGTCACTTACAATAAGCAGTATAAAGCTACAGGCTTTGGCAACCCCATCCCATCTTCAACAGACATAGAACTATGAGCAATTTCTCTGTCTCAGCTCAGCACCAGTATCTAAATAGAAACTGCCCTAGGTAAAAACATCTGCAGATGCTCTGCTGACCTCAAAACACTTCAGCCTCCACAACCTGCTTTAAAAGGCTAGTGAGGGTATGTTTGCCACACCGACGCTGGCAATGCTCCAGCCACTCTCACAGGTGGAGACAAAGGGCAGGTAGCAGAGCACAGACACAGCAGCTCTTAAGAGCTGGAGGCTGAGCAAGCCATTCGCAGCCACAGAATAGCCGTGGGCCACCCTGGACATTCAGGGAGCTGCCTGCAGCATACTGATAGGAACTATAGGAACCCAAAGGGAAATCACTGCATCAGGTACACTTACCATTCAAGATTAACTTGGGCATCTACAGAGACAATTAGAGGACAGGCTCTCTTAGGTTGCCAAGCCACATATTCAGTTAAGATTTTAGCCACAAAAGAAAATGTTAAAATCTGGTATTCAAAAAAAAACCAAAAACAAAAACAGACAAAAAAAAAAAACAAAACAAAAAAAAAAAAACAACCAACATCATTTTCCTGGACTGCACTTCTGAGGCATTCCTTCAGTATTTTATTTTTTCCTTTAGTATTTGCTTTTGGAAAATTCTGCTCCAGTGTCTCCATTCCTGTTTCCTCCTTTGCATGCTAGGTGATGAGAAGCCTCCACAAAATTAGCATGGTTCTTTATCAAGAAAATTACAGAAAGTGCAATCATGCTAAACATCCCAGGCTCACGCATGTGTGCTAGCTAGGTAACACATAGTTCAAATTCCCATCTTCTGAAACAGATGCTCCAGTCTCCAAGTTCCTGACACACTGCTACAAATCAGTTTCTACTCAGACCTTGCTTATGATTTTTTTAGTTGTTTTTTTTTGTTTTGATTTTTAGAAACATATATATGCACAGTGAAACCACCATTGGTGCATAACTAAACTGTTTTCCTGATTCCTCGGCCATTAAAATTGTATCATGTAAATGCCAGGCAATAGGTGAACCAGTCAGAAGGTCAGTATAAATGTTAGAGTCAATGACATACATGGAAGTTTTGCACAAGGCAGGACCTATGAGAACTGAGGACAAGATTCCAGTGCTTAGGACTGAATACAAGAAGCACAGGGTCAGCCACCTTTGAAGTTATACCCTTGAGCTACAGTCAAGCAATTAGGTTCCAGCTGTCCTGAATGGAAGTAATGGAAGATAGTTGTTGAATGGCACTATCTAATTCATAGACCTGAAACATCTGAGAAGTTAACTTCTTTCCTTAAGAAGAATGGTCTGTTTGGAAAGTTTGTACTTATTTAGTTTCTCATGATGGAAATTATTTCACTTAATTTGTTTAGAGCTGCACTGACATAGGGGTTCATTAGGACACCCATTTGCTTGCAATTCAATTTAAAATTAAATACACTTTGTTGTTGATTTTATTACTTTTAAACTACTGTATCTATTCCCTTTATTAGCTGCTAATACACAATTATGAAGGTAAACAGTTTTCATTACTGAACATCAAACATTTAAATAACCACATTCGATCTCTTTTCAGGTTGCACCATTTTTCTCCTTTCCCTCCTTTTGCTGGGTATTAGATTGAAAAGGATAATTTATTCAGTGAAGTTAAGCCTCTTCTGTGCTCACCAACATCTTCATCGGCTGTCATAGCAGACCATAGCTTCCTTTGCTGTATCCACAATGGTTATTTCCTCCATTCATTTCTTTACAGGTAATTTGACGCCTGTACTTATCTGAAGGTCACATATAGCTTAATCACAAAAACACTGCTCCAATTCATATTTCCTTCACTCTCTAAGGGTAATTCAGAAGCAGGGATGAATGGTCCTGGGAGAAGCCATTTCATTACCTTTTGAAGTGTGCTATCTGTAGCACTTAAAAATTACAGTCCAAGCCAGAAAAATGGAGGTATCCGAAACAGAGGTTTCTTTCAGAAGCACAGGCTTAATTTTTCTAGGCCTGAGGTTCTTTGTTTGGGAGGAGTTCCATTCATTAATATCTGTAAAGCACTAAAAGATCTTTGGAAGGAAAACACATTAGATAGAAGTACAAAGTAGCCCTTATCTGACATACCTTTGACAGAGTTCATGAATCCTGGCTCTCAACTTTTGTTTCTCCTGGTGAGAGACCTCCTTGCGGTGCTTTGAGACCAATATGCCAAAAAGAAGAAAACAAAAAAAAAAAAAGTAAAAAAGAAAAAACATTAGTTTGTTTCCAAAGGTACAGAAAGAAAGAACATGGAAATAAAAGCCAGAAATGTGCAGTTTTCCAAAGCTCTTAGTCTTAGGTCTTCCACTTGAAGGTTTTTCAGAAGCAATTAGGAATTTTCAGCCACAGTTATTTATTCCATTATTTTCTCATGTTTACTCCATTATTTCCACTGGAAATCTTATTCTAAAAGCTTGGTCAGTAAAAACTGTATTTGTGCATGGTATTGCCCTACAGTCCTTATTTTTACCATACCTAATACAGTCATATACATGCAAACCTATGTATATGCACCAGCGTGTTTGTACACACACCCCCAAACGTAACACACAAAACACTTAAGGATGGATCACCAGAGAGCCCACAACTGTCTGCACTTTAAATCTTCTCCAAATCCTGATGCCTAATCCCACCACAACTGTTTTTAGATGATTGGTAAAAGGAACTGGCATTTTTGGAGGTTGCAAGGTGTGGGAAGCTAGCTCACATGAGCAGCCCTCTCCCCCTGCAGTTCTGCAGCTCTCAAGCATGAAGCTGAAGGGCCTGAAAGTTGTTTTACTCTTGCATAGCAAGCTGAAAAAGTCACTCCATTGAGAAGCCAGCCATCTTTTAGACTGCGTTCTCTGTGCAAAACCTGGAAACGATAATTATTCTGAAGGCTGTAGACTCAGGAAAGCAAATTCTTTTCTCTGACCTGCACCATTAAGAGACCCCACTGAATAGTCAAGGGCATTTCTTGTACCAGTATCTTCTACTGGTGTCCCTGAAATGGACATAAAACGTGCATACAACACTACCCAGACACAAGAAGCTGCCCTACTGTATATGCTATACTGTCATATGAGTAGTGTAAATTTTTGTTCCACTTGCACTCTCATCAAGCCTCAAAGCCAAAAAAAAAAAAAAAAAAATGTGGTAAGGAAACAATGCAATAGTCAATGGAGAAAATTTCCCCATTGGAGGTTCCATATCTAGTTGTTGAAGTCTGTCCTTTCTTCTAAATCCTACTTTTTTTGGACAAATGTCTGGCTGTTTACAAGCAAGCTTAGGAATCACTGCTGAAGACTAAGGCAAAGCATCCTGCTTATTTCCAAAATGAAAATTGTCAAGAGTACAAAAAAAGACTACAGAAACAAATTGCAAAACCCTCTGCAAACAACTTTTAGCATAACTTTCTTAAACCTGTAAAATTAAAGCAGATACAACATGGTCTCCTCAAAACACACCGATTTGTTAGTAGTCCCAGCAGAGAGCCTCAGATGGATGCAGTAAATCCTTCAAGCCCTAGTCAAGCATCACATATACACAACTATGAAGTTGACATGACCAACCTTCCAGCTGTCCACATGGCAGTTTTGTCATGGGCAACTCTGCCTTCACCACCTCTCCTCTATTAGTGGGAACCAAGCCCTCCTGCTCCTGAACAGCTTTTGGCTTACGTTCACCGGGAGTCCCTGGGGCAGGACCAGGACCCATTTCTCTCCCACCTCCACAAACGCTGTCACTAATTTTTCTTTCCCCAACCCAGTGAATCACCACAGACAACGATTTGCCAGGAAGGGCTGGGAGCTGGCTCCGGTCCTGGCTCTGCTCCAGCAGAGCTGGTAGACGTCTGGTTAGGGGAATCAGATCCACCCTTCCTGCCACTTTCCACAGCCCAGTGAGGACTGCTGCCACTGGGAAATATGCCAAGAGCAAGGGCAGGTTGTTCTCCAGCTGCCCCGCAGGGGTGCTCTCTGAGGCATAAGGGACCCCTTCCCAGTGGCAGCAAGGACTGCATTCACTCCTGCAAAGCACAGGCACGAGGCTGTCATGGCTGGGGCATTTGAAAGGGTGCCCAGCAGCAGAGCTCAAAGTCTCTGAGAAGGTTTAATGACAAAACTACTGATCAAAAAGACATCAGGTGTTTCCAGAGCTTGATGGCAGATGGGACAAGGTTTAAAAAGTTTTGGAATAGGCAGCTAAGGCTAAAGTTTAGAAAGTAGGAAGAGGGCTCCTGGATCCTGGTAATGCCTGGGATAGTGATTTTTGAGGGAGGCACTAGATTAAGAAACAAGATGAAATAGAAAACTCACTTAATGTAAAATATCAAGTAGCCATAACGTTACAACAGTCAGATGTTACCAGTGCAGGCTTACAGCTTACACTGAGCCAGAAGTAGAGAACTGGGATTATTTTTTTTTTAAATGATTATATTACCAGACTCCCATAGCTGCCCAATCCCCTTGTTTATCTTCCTAATCTTAATTAAATAATGAATATTCAACAGAAAATATGAATCAGGGTTCTCTGTATGAACTGCACTGTTTTCAATCTCTCTGCCTCTGAAGTGGCAATGGGAATATGATTTAAAACTATTTCTTCTGGATCCTCGTAAAATATTTGTCACAGTGTGTCATGAAAATTTTCAAAAAGCTCTATCATCTACCTAATAAATTTGTTAAGTTTATTCAAATCTTATTGAACAGGAAAAGTGCAATGAGTCATGGTTAATATTTCTTTACCTACACCAAGAAATAAAATATATCAAAAATTCAATGCTTAGGGTCCTATTCAGAAAACCTCTATGAGTCTGTAATACATCTTCTACATGATTAAAAAAAAAAAAAAAAAACCACACCAGGAAACTTGCTTTAAAATGAATTATTCACCACCTTGAATAAATTTCCATCTTTCCTATTTGCAAAACCCCAAAGTCAGTTATGTAAATTTTAACCTACACTAATTACCTCGGGGGTGTGCAAGAAAAAGGAGAGCAGATGCAATAGAAAAAAATCCCAGACGTTTCCATCACCAGGAAGCAATTTAACAGAGGAAAAATGTGTAAGTTTTCAAAAACAGAACAGCCCATATAATTATTTCTTTTAATGTGGAATAATCATTGCTGCAATATCCCTCGAATCAGAGGTTTACTAGAATAAACCCAAATGCTTTTTCTCAATGACATACCATCACACACATAGCTAAGCCCTTGTTTCTCATCATGACACCAACATTGTCTAGACTGTAAAAACAACCCATTGTTGACAACGGGCGTTCCCAACAAGAAAGCATGAAGCGTGGTTTAGCTTCAAATCGATATAGGGCATTCGTTCCCTTTCACGAAATTAAAAAAAAAAATAATTAAAAAAAAAAGGAAAAAAAAGAGTTACTAAAGTCTGTGAACCACAAGATATCCTTCAAAGCCTGGGATGTACTGGAGAAAACAGGGTATTGTTTGAAGGCAGAAAGGCTC